ATACCTGCGTTTACATCCTGGAATTGACGCCGACATGAGTTATGGCACTCCTAAAACCATGTTGTTAAATTCCATTGCATGGCAAGAATTACTATTCCCCATAGGTTAATCTCAAATTAACTGCTTCCATAGTTAATGAAGATATAACTACCTACCCCAGGTCACCGAATGTACAGTGACCCACTGCTTCAATTAGTGAGTGGTGAACTACTTCATCTAGAAAACTCTGTCAACAAATTTTTTGACTAAAGCGCATTTATACCTATTATCATATTTTCAGCATTATGTTTTATTTTCGTTTGTTCAAATATGATAGTCAGAAGAAAGCAAAAGTAATAGAACTGGATTCTTGCCTTACTCAACCCACTCGGCGACATAGGAGCAGCCACACCGGTGTGTCAACCGAGGAAGCTTGAGCAAGACTGGCCCCAGTCCCAGCATCAGAAAGCATTCCAAGCAGTCGACGTCGCAACCACATCGGAGCCAAGACCGATAGGAAAACAGTTTCTATGAAAAAAATGGTAGTCCCTGTACTATCCACAAATTGTTTTATTTTGATGACAGCTTGTAGCAGACATCCCGACACCATATGAATCTCACTGTGCGGATCCCAGAACTTTTCCATTCGATTCGTTTTACCGCATCCACCTCCCATGAAAGTGTTCGGACATTTTTTGAGTGTGCGTTCGACTGATGCTTAAAGCCTTTTTCACCTCCATCACAAATGCCTGTACCTACATGAATAACTAATTTTCACAAATAATCGTGCAATCGTTAGCTCGCATTTCCAATAAGTTTGGTACGTTGATGGTTTGGCAAGAATTCTTCCCCTGTATACCTAGAAGTACAGACCGCAGTGTCCCCATAGGTTCCGACCACATAAAGTCGTTGATCTGTTTGGAACGGAACATCTTTGTCACTTGTTTCCGTCAACTTCCGTACTTTCTGTCACTTCCGTACAACAAGGTCAAACACGTTCGGAAATACAGTAATCACCTTTCGACTCCCAAAAGCAGCTCTTAAAAAAGCAAATGAATGTTAATATTAATATAATACGACCTTACGCCCAGTGCCGTGCAGGCATAGTTGGCCGGAGGGGACGACGCGGCGTCGTGGAATTGCTTCGTTTTTCCCCTGGTCCTGAATAAGGTTGTTCTATATTTAATCGTCTGAAACAGCAATTAAAGAAGAGATTCGTTCTTAAACTTTATAAAGTAGACTTACTGTGATCAACCCCGTTAGGACTGATTCTTGCTCACAAGCACTTCGTCGTCTGTCTATTGATGTGCCACGACAGTTAGTGTGCGACGGATGAATCCGTCTGAGCTTGTCGCAGACTTCTGCCCAGATCTTCAACAAGCAAATCTATTCACTGTGTCGTTTTGCTTAGAGGTGGCACGATTTCGATTTTACGCAAAAATTTCCGTAAGTTGGAGTATCTACGTGAGTTTCGTAGATATTTGACAATATTTTAGATCAATTCACTACATCTTTATAGCATTCAAAAAAGACTTTAACACTTTGACCACCGACAGGTGCCGACATTGCTTAAGAGATAACTTCGGCCATAAAATAGCGAGCGAGAAGTGATAAGCCGACTATAGAGGCACAACAGATACACGTTGGCTACGTTGGATACACGATACAGATAAGTTGGCCTGCCTGCGGCCTTATACGCATGGGGTACTATGTGGGAGAAATGGTACGTACCACCAATGGCGTTGTAAATATAACGCATTTGGAAACACCCGTCGCTAGTGACAACGCACGGTAAACTAGCTATGAAACGGAGTACATTGATCTGAGGATGACTGAGAATAAATCAGCAACACTGAGGATAACTGAAGTAGCCAAAGATTACAAGAAGAGGATTGTCCTCACCACCGATCAGGAGCGAGGTGAGTGATGATGTGACTGCGTTGTAGAATGGCATTTGGCTATACGACGCGGGGAGCCGCGTGCTTAAGCAACTGCGGTCGATCTGCATCGTTGACCTTAGACTGCAATAGCTTGTACAGCTAACTGCCTGAAACATCAAACGTTATTGACTTCGTTGTTTCACAAAGAAATAGTAAACTGTTCTACTGCTATGCCTCCATCCAAAATCAAGTAAGCCACCACTTTTGGGCGATTCCAGTCAATGGTCTGAAATACTGAACGTAATTGATCGAGTAGATCACAAAGATTACATTGCGGCATGCGTCACATCAAACGGGACCGTTTAGATAGATAGATATAGACACTACCTTCATCCCAAACTTCATTAATGTATCGAGTTGTTTCCGCTGCACTACGACCGAGTATGAAAATAAAAAGCAAACATTGTGAATTCAACTATGGCCTCAGCTTAATTGGCTTCGTTGCCGATTTGGGCTCCCCAGATCAATCTGTCTGACGGGTGACTGCTGATGGCGAAAGATAGATAGAACTAGCTGAGAGACAGTCGAAATGCCATCTATAATTTTTATGGCAGCGTATTAATCAAAATCGAAATTCCTGACGTCACTGATCGATAGAACTGGCTGGGAGACAGGTGAAACGAAGGAGCCGCATGGTGTAGTGATGAACGCGTTACTCCCCGGAAAGGACAATAGCGCGTTCGTTCCTCACCGCAGACACCTGCGGTCCGGAGTTTTGCAAATATCCCAGCAATATTGTGTTTGTATTTCGCTTAATACCCGCTCTGCCATAAAAATTACAGAAGGCAGAAAATAAAAAGTAAACATTGCGACTTTTGCGTCCTGAAACAGGTGCATCCAGAGCTGGAATCCCTGTTGCTGCTGAGCCGATCTGGCACATACTTTCCGTACTTACACGGTTTATTCATTCATGAGGGTGTGGGCCCGTTCTCGCTTGTGCGGATTGTATTCTACTAGTCAATTCGGCTAAAAGCCCACATTCAAGTGGTAGAGAAGTATATGGGAGGCAGTTAGGAGCCGCCTCTAACAAATAAGCTTCATGCCATTTCCACTCTGGGAGAGGGTGTCAAGCTACCCGTGATTATTCTCAGCCCACATGTTCAGAGCCCAGCAAGCTATACATAGGTATAAAAGTGCTAAACGCAGTAAAAGAAACGGGCTTCATTCCTCTGACCTCGAAAGACCACCCAATTCGGCAGCGTTGGGTGGGACGAGTAGGGAAAGGCTGCTAAAACCTCAGGGCCAATGTAAACTGACTGCATTGAAAAAAACTAAGATAACGACCTCTACCTGCAGTGCACGTACACTTGCATCCGAGTCCTCGATAAAAAACATGGTCGTGCAAGGAAGAAGTATGAAGTACGACGTCATCGGCCTGGCCGAGGCGAGACGACGTCGCCCATTCAACGCCGTCTATGACGCCGGCGAAGAACTGTTCCTCGGAAAATGAGACAGTAGAGGAGCCGGCGGCGTCTGCGTTCTCATCGACACGAGTTTGTCCACGAACATCGATTCGTCCGAACAATTAACAACTGGAATCGGACGTTTACGATTAAAAACATGTGGATCATTTCTTACTTTGACAACCTTCGTTGTTTAGGCGCCCAGATCAAGCTATGATGAAGAAGAAGTCGGAGCATTCTATATGGATTTTGAGAGGTTCCGCACAGTAGACTTCAGATTTGCAATGGCATAATTTAGATTTTAACGCTAGGACCAAGGAAAACGTCTGAAGAATGTCACATTGGGACCCGCGAATTGGAATGGAACGAGCAGGGTGAGCGGCTGTCTGAGCTTATCATGATGATCAAAACCATTCATATTAACACGCATCTCCAAAAACCCTATCGTCAACGCTGATACGTGGGGGTCTCTCAGTAGAACGCACCGAAATAGAACATATCATAGTAAATCGAAGTTTGTGCCCCAGCGATGTCGCTGCTTCCCCAACGTTCTGCCTGCTCGGGATCAGATCGTCCATTATTTCGTGCAAGGCTCCATTTTTCGCCGAGAGGGGAAAAACAACTAAATTCAGTAAACGAACACCTAAAACCACAGCGATTTCTTCAACTCATTAGTTACCTGTTGGAAAGGTGCTGTTCTCCACAACATCGATGAGTAACGCGATCTGTTCATTGAACAACTTCATGTTAGCGTTATGAAAGCTAAGAGTTCGAAAGTCACCAAGAGATGTCTGTCTCCAGAAACACTCGAGCTGATACGCCAGCGTGGAAACGGACGAGCTGCAGGCAACCGCGTGCTAACGTCCGTACTTACAAAACAATGCAGACGGGCGATAAAGGATGATCTTAAAGAGAGAAGAGCAGCAATTATGGCCAAAGCTCTATAGGACGGGAAAAGTATTCGCAAAGTCAATTGGCTGATTACAAAACCGAGGTGATTGCATTCCGACGATCATACGAAACAGTCATAATGTTTACTTTTTATTTTCTGTTTTCTATATTTTTTATTGCAGGGAATTAAACGAAATACAACCACAAGCGCTATTGTCCTTTCCGGGGAGTAGCGCGTTCACCACCACACCATGCGGATCCTTCGTTTCGCCTGTCTCCCAGCTAGTTCTATTGATCATCAGTGACGTCAGGAATTTCGATTTCGATTAATACGCTGCCATAAAAATTATAGATGGCAGAAAATAAAAAGTAAGCAATGTGAATTCAACTACAGCATCAGCTTAACTGTGTTCAATGCATGTGGGCTCCGAGATCAATCCCGTTGACGGGTGAATGGTGATGGCACTGATCGATAGAACTAGCTGAGAGACAGGCGTAACACATGACAGGCATGGTGTGGTGGTGAGCGCGTTACTCCCTGGAAAGGACAATAGCGCGTTCGTTCCCCACCGCAGACACCTGCGGTCTGGAGTTTTGCAAATATCTTAGCAATCTTGTGGAACAGTTATAGTTTCACGAAAGGCAGTGGAGAAAATCTTCCATGACCACTACACTGATATTTTCAACAACAGCATCTTTTTGGCCTCTATATGAAATAAATGAGAATGGCTATATCGTCTCATCGGTTCTCCCCTTTAAACTTTGATATGCAATTTCGTTCGTTGTGATGAATCGGACAGCACCAGGTGTAGACGGGACAATATCTGGACACTTTGGGAAACCTTCCGTCAGCCCTCATAAACACACTGCTCTTCACACTTTACCTGTCTATATGCAAGTTCCGTACTTCGTGGAAGAGGGGTATGACAGTGCTAGTGTTCAAGAAGGTGACCTCCACAATATCGGCAACTACCACCCAATCTGCTTGCTGTCTGCCGTCTACAAACTTTTCACTCGAGTCATCCTAAGCAGGATTGACGGAACAGTGGACAAAGAGCAGCCATAATGAGCAAGAGGGTTTCGGAAAGGTCTCAGTAAGATGGGCAACATCCACACGAAAATGGGACTTATTGGAGTATTGAGAGAATACGAAAGATCGCTCTGTCTCACTTTCATCGATTTAAAGAAGGCCTTTGGCTCAAACGAGACAGGAGGAGTCATGGAAGCTCTGCACACTCAGGGATTCCCTACTCAGTTTGTAAAGGTTCTTCGTGAGCTGTACAAACCTTTCACAACCAAGATATCACCATTCCCAAACGATATCAACATTGACATCAAAAGAGGGGTTAAGAGAGGCAAGGCAATACCATCTCGCCAAAATTATTTACCGCCACACTCCGGAACGTCATGCGAGCACTGGATTGGGACAACATGGGAGTGAAAATCAATGGTCGGCAATTATACTGTCTTAACCTTGTTGATGACATGGTCCTTGTAACACTAAACATTAGCCAAGTGGAACTAATGCTTGCCGACTTTGATAAAGCCTGTGGAAAGACTGGTGCTCGACTAATTCTCAGAAAACAACATTCATGATGAACGGATTGATTTCGTATGCCCCATTCACGCTCAAAGGAACGAATATCTCCTGATATTCCAATTATGTCTATCTAGGTCGAGAAATCAACATAAAGAACGACCTAGCTCCAGAGCTGAGCAGAAGAAAACGAGCGGTTTTTTGGAGCTTTTAGGAGGATCGAGGAGGCAATGAGGAAAGCAAAGAACAATCGACTCGTGCCCACCTTTTTAACTCAACGGTACCTAGGTATGTGTATATCCTACGTCGTATTGAAACCCATTATGCACTTAATATTCGGAGAAAAAGGATCTGTCTAAACCATAACGAAGCAGAAATGTTTTTAGCACTTGTGATCCTCCTTAGTTATAGATAGTGTGCTGCAATTCGGTCGCTGGTTCTTGCAAACGCTTTCCCCTTTCTCTACAGTAACAGCGAAACTTACCATAAGCAGAAGCCTAGTCTTTTCGATGCAATGCCCTGCATTTGTGTATAGTTGTTGGCATACTATGAACTTGTTGTCGGTCACATGGCCAGCTCAGATTGCAGGCGCTATTCATTCTAGACCACTAGAGGTTTGCTTGTCAAGTGGAATGCAAGCGTGAACTTTGAACACATTAAAGCTTGTATTTTTTCGTTCTTCAATAAAATTCTGTAATGTTTCTGTAGGACTGAAATCGTACCGTAATAATTTGCATTTAATTGTATTGTGTTTTCATTTACATAAGTCGTATCGAAAATACGTTGCATATTGAGCCAAGAAGCAAATTTTCCTAATTTTTAAAGCAATGAAATAAACAGGTGCGGAGCTGGCAAATCAACATTTTATAGATTCAAACGCATAAGGTCTCTCTAAGAGACTGACCAACGCTTAACACTTCAGATCTTCACCAACCTTTACTGCTCGAAAAAAAAACAGTTGTGAAAACAATGAGAAAGAAATCGAAATGAGAATTTGCTAATGGTAAATGAAAAACACGTGATAAAACAAATTGGCACTGCTTCAGCCTTCGACTATTGATAGAAAGTGTAGTGGGCGATTAAGGAGCCACTTATCTCTTCACCAGTGAAGAAAATGAGAACTATTGCTTCGTTGCTCTAGCCGTGTCTTTTGCGCTGCAACTTCAAGGTGATAGCGATAAGGCTACATGTAACGTGTGAAGATTGATATTGGAGATCAGTAGTTGATATGAATTGCAATTCACTGATGACTATCCGATCACCGTGGTAAAGCGGCATTCCACACCAATATGATGGATCAGTGCTGGTGTTCTGAAAGAAACCTACATGTCAAGTTAAAGGTCGCCCACCAATCAAGAGAACCGTTGACTAGTTGTTGATCAATACTTGAAAACTTATAAATGAATAACATCGCTTTTTTAAGATTTATTCGATGACCAATCTTCCCACACACGATATCAATGTTGACAAGCACTCCTTTCACTTTTCCAATGGTTGATCTTATAAGACAGATGTAATTAACGGAGTAAAAACAGTGTAATTGCCGACCAAAGACTTTCACCTTTATGTTGTCCCGTTCCAATACTCGCGAGGCGTTTTCGAGAGTGGCGCTAAATAATTTTGTCGAAATGATATCGCCTTACCTACTCCCTCGTTTGAAGTCAACGTTCATATCGTCGTAGGATGGTGATATCTTGGTTGAAGGATTGTTCTCTAGCTCAGGAAGAATCTTAATATGCTGAGTGGGAAAGCACTGGCTACAAAGAGCTACCATGACTGTGTCTTTCTCAACTGAAGCTGTCCTAAAATCGATTAAAGTGAGACACAGCGGTCTCTTGGACTCTCGCAATGCTTCGGTGAGGGTCGTTACTGTTTGGTTGTGGTCTCCCAGGTGGATTCTTTTGGAAATCCTGCTGCCTATCCTTTGTCCACCGTTCTGTCCATCATGTTTAGGATGACTCAAACGAAGTGCTCACAGATAAGAGACAGTAAGCAGATTGCGCGACAGCTGCTGATATCGTTGAAATCACCTTTACAATAACATATTCTTCCTTTACGTTCACTGAATATTAAACTCGCGCTGTGACAGGCAACGTGTGAATAGTGGAGCTAGCCTATGAGGGCTGACGGAAGTTTGTTTAAATATTCGGATCATTTCCTCTCTGGAACAGCCTTGTACGCCCTACAAAATAGTACGTCGGATTTCATAGGGTAAAACCGATAAGACGACATATTCCTCATTGAGGACATAACCACTAAAGATATCAGGGTGGTAGTCGTGAATTATTTTCTCCATTATCTTCCTGAAATCCATTAGGCCTCTGTTTGGGTGTCGCACCACGATTATCTTGATCTGATAATTAGGAAAATTTAGCCGGGAGTTGCGAGTGGTTTTTCGACTTGTGTAGCCTCAACTATTACCCTGGTTTGTATTGCTTTATGGTCTTTTGTGACATTTCTGCACAATTGGAAACCCGGGCGTTAGCTGCCACTTAAGTGCTCCAATAGGAAAGCGTCTCATTGTGAATTTCGAACTCTCCGGTTTCATGGCTCTGGTGTGAACATGCAAAATAGGTCTGTCGTGTGCGCCATAGATGTGGATAATGGTGCTTTTCCAATAGAGCAGATTAGTGTTCTGAATAAATCTTACGTCGCAATGGTCTTGAGGTTTCGTTTGATTGAACATTGCCGCCTTCTTTCCTTCTCGCGATAAATGTATTTTTGCTTGAGGAAGCAATAGTTTACTCACGCTCATAATTTTTCAACAACGGTCGAATGAGTCAAGTGAATCCTTTGATTACTATGATGTGGTCTGTTTCGTTATTTTACTCTCCATTGGAGGACTTCCACGTCCGACGCATAGAGAGTGTGAGTTACCATTAACTTTCTTGGTCGTTGTTATAAAGTCAGACAGTCGCTCGAACTGCTCTCTGAATGCTAGTCGATGGGCCCCAGTATAAAGTTCTTCTTACATTCGTTTGAGTCCGATTTTAGTTTTAAAATCACTAATGATGACCGTAAAGAATGTGTTGTCTTCTCTATGGAATTTCCCCATGTCCACACAGAATGCTTCAACTTCGACTTCGTCATACGTCATCAGTAGACGAAAACTACCAAAACCGGTATTTATCTACATCTCTTAGCCATATACTTTCAATTCGCGTTGTTAGTTGTTCGAATGAATCAATGTTCGAGGCTAAACTCTTGTTGACGAGGACTCTGACGCCGAGGACTCCTCTATTGTCGCTTGTTCTGAGGGCTGTTCTTCTCTAATACCATACATAGTGTCAAATGGAAAATTTTTTTTCCCTTATATCCTACGACGTTGCACACTATCCTTTGACTTGCACAATGGTCTTCAATAGAGGACTCGGGCAGAAGTGAAGGTACAGTTTATCTACTGATTACCACTCTAGTCCTTGCAGATTTAAGGCAGTCTAGAAAGGCGTTGGGCCTTGGAAGCCTTTCTGCACTTGATGAAGCTTCTTTATTTTAGAGCGTTCGGCTTTTGATACCCATATATGAGTAGCTTTACGTTAAAGCTCGTACTTCGAATACTGCGCTGAAGCAGGCGGCCAAGCAGTTAGTGTGTCGAACCGGGCACGACGTCGCGAAGTGTTTGCGAAGGTTTTAATTTGGAACATGAACTTTGTTCTCAACACAATGTAAATTAGATTAAGAATAAATCTAAATTTGAATAAACATTATTTGAGAGTAATTTTCACCTTCAGATGACAACGCGAAACTTCTAAATTAGTCTAGTGACAGCTATTTGTTGAGCTAATAAAAAGGCGATGGCATAGCAAAGATGCATTGTATCTCTGTTTTGAAGGCCTCCATGTTATTACAAGTCACTGATTGGCATCTTCGATGCTGTTGACAGTATCATGCTTCCCGTTTCAATGACGCCACAGTCAATCAACTTGAACTACACAACTGTCCTGTGAGATGGTTACATAAATACTGTCTCTCATTTTGGTGCTGCCATCGACCACAACTATTAGGGCTCGCATAGACACTGCTGTCTTAAGGATTCCACGCAAGTGGCATGACCCAAATGTCAACCTCTCGAAAACGCCAAACGGTATTTGGGAACTATCTGCGGCACTCGAATAATTTGGCATTTTTGTAAGCCTCTATAAAAATTACATCATTTGCATGCACAAAACAAATAATGCGAAAGCAAAAGCAGCAGGAAAATTCTTTTATGATCGCCCTTAAATCCAGTATTCACTCCATTTAAAGTTCATTCATGGCGAAACAATCTTTGTTTCTATGGTGATTGCACCTGGAATGTTCTGACCACGTGCACTTGTTCCAAAAATACTCTACAATATGCCAAACATCTAAACCCTAAAATTATTTCTATTTAATCCTACTATTACGTGATCTAGCATGATGTATATCACACTGAGCAGATCTCAGCGCTGCCTGCATTCGATTTCCTGGTGTCCATCATTCACGAAGGACCTTCAACTTTTCGCGTTTGCGTTCGGTTGTTGCTTGAGGATTCTATAGGCTTCTTCACA